CCAACTCCCCCCCCCGGGAGTGGGCCTAAGCCAGCAGGTGGTCATCCCCCGAGGGGTCCCAGACTACGAGAGGGCACAGGCCGTGCTGAGGGACCCCCCCACCACCACCAAGTGCACAAATTTTTGTGCACTGGGCCTCTAGTACAACATAAAATAAAATCTTATTAGGATAAAAACACTTTAAACTTTTCAAAACTGTTATTATTTCTGAAAAAAGAACCAGGAAGCCCTCCATTGGAAATAAGCTTTTAGAAATGTCTCTGGAACATACATATGTGATCTGGTTTATGCAAAATCCACCAGTACCATCTTCAGAATTTCCACAATAAACATAATAATGAATATTAACTTGTATATTTCAGGTTTAAAATTATTTGGGGTATAAATGATGCCAGTAAAAATTTGAAAGCTAGTTTTACTGTTTCCTTTTATGTTCACATTAGAGGTCCAATGTACTAAAATTCATGCAAGAGTAGGCCTTCCTTCCCCCGGCTGCTGGTACTAGCTTCCCTCCAGAACCCAGTACCTGGGCTGCTTCTCTCCTCCAGCTGTCTGCAGGCAGCCGGGACATGGGCTGACTTCCTTCTGGCCTCAGCTTCATCAGGAAGCACATCCAAAATGACCTCCAGAATATGTGTGGTCTAATTAGCATATTACCCTTTTATTATTATAGATAAGGAAATGAACATCCTCACCACAAGTCTCTGCATGAGGCAGTAACATGGAACTTGGCCACAGGGTTTGGTGAGGTGATCACTTTGAGAAGGGGTGTCTATTCACACAGAGTCACTGCACCCGAGTACCCACATAGAGATGTGTGAGCACAGCCAGACACCACGGTCAGGGGCGCAGTGTGGGCCTCTGGGCCACCCAGCAGTACCACAGGGAAGCCGGGCAGCAGCTTGTTCTCTCCCAGCCAGCCTTGCAGGCTGGCTCCTGTGTGAACCCAAGGGAAGCCCCAACAGCCCCTGTAGTCCCAGTGGCTGGGAGAGGCTGCACAGCTGTGGGGCAGGCTCCTTGTGGATGCCAGCACCTGAGCACAGGGGGCTTCCCTGGAGCATGAGCCCTGGTGTCCCAGGTAGCAGGGGGAGAGGGACTTTGGTGGACACCCTGCATTCTCACCAGACTGCTGTCCCTATCACCCCTACCCTGAAGTAGCTTGCAAGAGGTCTCAGAGCATCACTGCCACCTGGTGGTCAGTGCACATCATGGCAAGTGATGAAACTTCCACTCTCCCAGTTGAACTCCCCAGCGGATAATTTCCATATTAGGCTTTTACATATATACTAGAGGCTTGGTGCACTAAATTCTGACCTGCACCCTCTCCAATCCAGAACCTCTCAGGGGATGTCCGACTGCCAGTTTATGCCCACACTTTTAACAGATGACAGCTCCGTTGTTTCTTTTCATACTTAAACCCATTGTAATTAGTAGGTATTCAAAAGTGTGTATACATTTTGTGGGGGCATTCTGTACATCTCTAGTCATGGTGAAAGGAACCAACAGCAGGTTTGGAACCCCCAGGCAGGGAACCTCACTCACTCCCTGCATATCTCCCCACTCTGCTTCTGACCTTTGTGGGCAGCAGGAGAATCAATGTTTTCTCTCATTAACTTGGAAAAGCATGTCCTGTCACCCACTGCCCTGCAGGAGTGAGCTAGGCCCCAAGCAAGCGAGGTTCAGTCAGGGCAGCCTTCGCTCATGGGTGCTGGCACCCAAAGTGCCGGATAATTTCCATATTAGGCTTTTACATATAGAGGCTTGGTGCACAAAATTCTGACCTGCACCCTCTCCAATCCAGAACCTCTCGGGGGATGTCCAACTGCCAGTTTATGCCTACACTTTTAACAGATTACAGCTCCGTTGTTTCTTTTCATACTTAAACCCATTGTAATTAGTAGGTATTCAAAAGTGTGTATACATTTTGTGGGGGCATTCTGTACATCTCTAGTCATGGTGAAAGGAACCAACAGCAGGTTTGGAACCCCCAGGCAGGGAACCTCACTCACTCCCTGCATATCTCCCCACTCTGCTTCTGACCTTTGTGGGCAGCAGGAGAATCAATGTTTTCTCTCATTAACTTGGAAAAGCATGTCCTGTCACCCACTGCCCTGCAGGAGTGAGCTAGGCCCCAAGCAAGCGAGGTTCAGTCAGGACAGGCTTCGTTCATGGGTCCTGGCACCCAGAGTGCACATTCCTCCTCTGCAGTCGCCCCGACTCTCCCACCGTTTCACTGAGCGGACGAACCTCCTCGCCTCCTCTGGGTTCCTGATCTGGAACACTGAGCGAAGGCACCTCAGCGAGGGCCACGCCAAGCCCACCAGGTGTGTCTGTCCACACCCGCTCCCACCTCAGCACCTGCATTAGCCCCACGGAGGCAATCTCATCACCACACTAGACTACACGGGAACAGGGTGTCACCGCTCTGCCCTCTCACTGTCATATCACAGAGTGATCACCCTGAGCACCCAGACACGCTCCAAAGGACTTGAGCGTGCCAGAGGGGACGTGTGCAGGTTGTGTCAACCCTGTAGGTATGACAGGGTTGAGGGAAGTGTAGCGGAGGACAGGGGAAACGTGCGAGCACTGTGGTCCAGGCACACATGGGTGACGGTGCGCTGGGGGACATTCACACACAAGCAGGGGGAAGGGGGAAGATGATGTGCGCACAGGAGGCGTGTGCCTGTGCAGGTCCGCAAACCCACGCAGCATGGCCAGGAGGATGTGAACCTGGCCTGCCACAGTGAATGTCCCTGCAATTGCGTACCTTGGGGGCCAGGAGGCTGCACGGGGATGAGCCAGCGGCGACGGGGAGGGCGAGGGCGGCCTGCTGAGAGAGCTCCACAGATGATCAGCACGCCTTCAGTCACAGGGGCCGCTGCCACCGCAGCTGCCTCGTCGTCAGTGGGCCCTGTGCCACCTCTGTGGCTGGGGTCCTCCCAGGCCCTCGGTGTGCAGGAAGCCAGGCTGCCCACCCCGATGTCTGCGGTGCCACCCGCCTCCTCTGTGGCCAGTTCTCTCCGAGGGCAGGATCTTCCCACAGGCCTCACCAGAAACAGCTTGGGGAGGGCGCCTCAGGTTCGGTGGGGGTGTGGCATGGAGGTGGTGCCTGTGCTTCAGTTAACTTACACAATATGTTTTATACCATAGCAAGTGGCGATGGCTATGAGAGGTACCAAGAGGAGCCTGTGGGCTGAGCTGAAGCAGCGCCTGCGGGCCATCAGGAGCACTCACAGCTGCCACCACTGGGCCTCACCTCCCCCGCCCGTCCCAGCCCTGGGCAAGTGGCAGCGGCCATTGGGACCACTCACAGCCGCCGCCATCATGATTTAGACAGGAAAAGAGAGAGAGTAATAGGAATATCTCTGATCAGAGGGAATCATGGAACACCTGGCTCCTGCATCACCCCGATGTCTGCGGTGCCACCCGCCTCCTCTGTGGCCAGTTCTCTCCGAGGGCAGGATCTTCCCACAGGCCTCACCAGAAACAGCTTGGGGAGGGCGCCTCAGGTTCGGTGGGGGTGTGGCGTGGAGGTGGTGCCTGTGCTTCAGTTAACTTACACAATGTGTTTTATACCATAGCATGTGGCGATGGCTATGAGAGGTGCCAAGAGGAGCCTGTGGGCTGAGCTGAAGCAGCGCCTGCGGGCCATCAGGAGCACTCACAGCTGCCACCACTGGGCCTCACCTCCCCCGCCCGTCCCAGCCCTGGGCAAGTGGCAGCGGCCATTGGGACCACTCACAGCCTCCGCCATCATGATTTAGACAGGAAAAGAGAGAGAGTAATAGGAATATCACTGATCAGAGGGAATCATGGAACACCTGGCTCCTGCATGCCCCACACTGGAGATTGAGTCCACAACCAGGGTCTGTGCCCTGACCAGGAATTGCACCTTGACCTTGTGGTTCATAGGTCAAAGCTAAACCACCGAGGAATGCCAGCCAGCACTTTCTCACATTTTCTACAGTGTAAGGTTTCCTCCACTATAAACGTCTCTGTTATTCAGTAAATTTTGAGCGCTTGCACATGCTCTAAATTAGTAAGGTCTCTCTTTAGTATGAAAGTCTCTCATGTACAGTAATACAAAAATGCCTTTTAAAGACTTTTCTACACTTTTCACATTCAGAAAGCTTCTTCCCATTTAAAATTCTGTGATGTTCAGCAAGTTCTCACTGCTGGTAAAGGATTTATTACTCTCCTCACATCTTTAATATTTCTCTCCAGTATGGACTCTCTGATGTGCCAAGAGGTTTGAAGCGTTGCCAAAGGATTTGCCACATTTTCCACACATATAAGGCTTCTCTCCAGTATGAACTCTTTGATGGTAAATAAGGGCTGAGGAATGCCTGTAGGCTTTGCCACACTCTCCACATTTATAAGGCTTCTCTCCAGTGTGAACTCTCTGATGCGTGGTAAGGTTTGAGGACCAGCTAAAGGCTTTGCCACATTCTCTACATTTATAAGGCTTCTCACCAGTATGAATTCTCTGATGTGCAGTAAGAATTGAGGCCCGGCTAAAGACTTTGCCACATTGTCTACATTCATGATGCTTCTCTCCAGTATGAGTTTTCTGATGGTCAGTAAGAGTTTGGGATTGCCAGAAGGCTTTGCCACATTCTCTACATTTATAAGGCCTCTCTCCAGTATGAACTCTGTGATGATAACTAAGGGATGAAGACTGCCTAAAGGCTTTGCCACATTCTTTACATTTATAAAGCTTCTCTCCAGTATGAACCCTATGATGTCTAATAAGGGAAGATGAATCGCTAAAGGCTTTGCCACATTCTATACATTTGTAAGGTTTCTCTCCAGTATGAACTTTCTGATGTCGAATCATGTTTGAGGCATGGAGGAATGCTTTACCACATTCTCTACATTTATAAGGTTTATCTTCAGTATGAACACCTTGATGATTAGTAAGACCTGCATGGCTGGTAAAGGATTTGCCATATTCTTTACATTTATAAGGTTTCTCTCCAGTGTGAATTTTCTGATGATTACTAAGGGTTGAGGGCCAGCTAAAGGCTTGGTCACATTCTCTACATTTATACAGCTTCTCTCCAGTATGAACTCTCTGATGTCGATTAAGGGTTGCGGACATACTGAACGCTTTGCCACATTCTGTACATTTATAAGGCTTCTCTCCAGTATGAACACTCTGATGACGATTAAGGGAGGAGGATTGGTTAAAGGCTTTGCCACATTCTATACATTTGTAAGGTTTCTCTCCAGTGTGCACTTTCTGATGTCGAATCATGTTTGAGATGTGGAGGAATCCTTTACCACATTCTCTACATTTATAAGGCTTATCTTCAGTATGAACACTGTGATGATTACTAAGAATTGCATGGCTGTTAAAGAATTTGCCACATTCCCTATATTTATAAGGGTTCTCTCCAGTGTGAATTCTCAGATGAATATTAAGGGTTGAGGGCCGGCTAAAGACTTTGCCACACTCTGAACATTTATAAGACTTTTCTTCTGTATGAATTCTATGATGTTGATTATGTCTTGAGGACTGACTAAAGCCTTTTCCATTTTCCCCCAGTTTGTGAAATTTTGCTATAGTATGATTTCCTTCCTTATGTACAATAAGAGATGAATGACATTTAAAGGCTTTGCCATATGCTTTACATTTGTAACTCTTCTCTGCAGTGTGAATTTTCTGATTTAGAGTAAAACTTGAAGGCCAATTAGATGTTTTACCAGAATCTTTACATTGATAAGGTTTTTCTCCACTATGGATTTTTTCCATTATATTTAGATTGAATATTTGACTGAAGACTCTCCCACATGGATTCCATTTGTAAGCCTCCTCCCCAGAATGAATATTCTCCTGTTCAACGTAATTTGAAGACTGCTGAAAAGACTGGACACATTTACTTCCATTGTGTGTCTTCTCCACAATAGGAATAACCTGATGTATATTGTGATTGGACATTTGGTCAAAGACATTTCCACTTTTATAATGGCCCTCTGCAAGCTCACTTCTCCAATGATTAAAATATGACTTTTGCTTAAACTTTTTCCAATGTTCAATCCATTGATAGCTGCTATTTCCATTATGTGTATGCTGGTAATAATGGGAGATAGAAAGACGTTTAGTAACAGTTATAATTTCATTACACATGTACATTTGGTTCATAAGAACAATCCTGTGATATTCATTAAACCAAGATGGTTGTATAGAAAAAGCTTTCCTAATTTATCAAAATTATAGACAAAAAATAAATACTAGTACAAAACATTAATTGTCAGAGGAAGAAGAATGACTCCTTGTTTAAAAGACTGCCAAACTGCCCAGCCAGCATGGATCAGTGGTTGAGCTTCAATGTATGAACAAGTAGGTCATGGTTCTGTTCCAGTTCAGGGCACATGCCCCAGTTCCAGGACCAGTCCACAGTGGGAGGCATGGAGGAGGCAGACAATGAATGATTCTCTCATCACTGATGTTTTCCTCTCTCTCTTCCTCTCCCTTACTCTCTAAAATCAATAAAAATATATTTTTTAAATAAAAAATATCATAAAAGATTGCTAAATTGAGCACATTTTAATTTTATGGATACAGAATAAATCTATACATTTTAGAAGTGATTGAAGGAAAATTTAATACCACCGTATACTTTAAACAATTCAAATGATTATTTACACTACAGACTATGTGAATTCCTAGTTTATCCCGATTCCCTTTCCAAGAATGCATAACAGTTAATGTTGTTTTCGACCATCACGTGCAGAAACACACTGATTTTCCAATGTAACTGACTTTAAATTGGGAGGTTCCCCTAATGCGTAATACACTTGACCTCTATAGGTAACAAGAAATTTATTGATAACTTGCAGATTAGTTCTGTTTATATTAAAATCCTCCCTTCTCATCCCACTCTTTCTGAAATTCCAAGGCTTTCATTAAGTGTACATTATCAAAACCACACCTTTTATATCTTACCAGTATTATTTCAGAGAATAAATCTTGTATTCCGGGCTTAGGCATAAAGGCCTGGTCATCTTCAGATGACATAGCTGAAAAAAAAAACAAATTTTCAGTTTTGACAATCAGGTGAGTGCACTTTGAAGTTAACAGCAAGTATTGACCAAATGACAATTTTGAGTACTCCAAGAGTCAGTGAAGGATTCAAAGAAAGCTCAATATAGGTACAATGAAGAAAACTCACATCAAAGAGGAAGAAAGAGTTGCTTACATTTGCCAATGATACCTGCTCAAACCCCCTGGCACACAACGACAATATTATAAAAACACTCCCAATTCCCAGTTTCTTCGCTGCAAAGAGAGAGAGAGAGGAGTGAAGTGGGTGCTCAGTGATCTCCCTGTTTTGAAGCATCGTGAAGAACATGTGTCTGTTGTTCATGACACAGAGTGCGAACAGAATGGCAGTATATGTGAGTGACCTGCAGTGGCTGCTACAAAGAAACAATGAGAAAGTGTTCAAGCACCACAAAGACTACAGGACTAAAGATGTATATCAAGTCTGAAAAGATACCGTGGGCCTGAGAAAGAAACAGAGAATAATTCAACTGGGAAATTAAACAGACAATAGAATCTAGAATACAGATCCTGAAAACAGTGTTGACTGAATGTAGGATTGTTCCACTGATGGTTATTATTGTTTCCTCCTATAGAAAGCATGTTCAAAAGCCTGCTTGTTTACAATTCTGGAATCTCAACAAATGATATCAAGTCATGCAAAGAAACAAAAAGTATACTGTCAGAAATACAAAATAAAAGTAATCAAACGTGCACTACATTAATGGGAATATATTAATTACCTGAAAAAGAATAGAACTAAATATCTTAAAGCTAAAAAGGAGAAATAAAATGACAATAATATCACTAAAATATTATGTAATTAAAGTAAAAATACAATGAGAAAGTATTTTATAAACACCACACCAAAAAGGGGAAATTGAAAAACATAATACCCGAATTAAAAAATACAATAGAATCATTAATGAAAGATGTGTTTAACTTAAAACATCAAAGAATTTGCCTGGAAGTGGTGCCTCAGTGGTTGAGCTTCAATCTATGAACCAGGTGGTCACGCTTTAGTTCCAGGTCAGGGCAAGGCCTTGGTTGAAGGCTCAATCCCCGATCATTCAGGAGGCAGCTGATCAATGATGCTTTCTCTTCGTTGATGTTTCTCTCTCTTTCTCCCTCTCCCTTCCTGTCTTAAATCAATAAAGATACATTTTAAAAATAATAATTAAATGATGAATTTGTACATAAATCATTAAAATTTTGATTCTGAAAAGCCAATAAACATGTGGAAATATGAAGAGAATTTAAGGAACTCCTAAGACACTAACAAGGCATTTCCCCAAACCTGAATAGGAAACTCATTGTGGCTGCCAGACAGTTAAAGGGCATCTTAATCTACATGTTATTGCCTCCTACTGGCCAAACACCTGAACAGCCGTAGGCTACTCCCCCATTCTGACAATGGACTCTGTACCCTTTGAAATCTTACCCTTTGAAGTGTATTATCTCCACCTTGCCTTAGGACAAATTGTGTTAATAAAAGCAAGGGTACTCGACAAGGAGGCTCTCTTCAGTTCCTTTAGCTGAAGGTCCTCTGACCCCGAATGCCTTTCAACTCGTCTCCGGACTCTTTATTAGTCTCTGGATTTCTATGTCATCTACGCGCAGCCCCTTTTCCAGATTCCTGAACCTTTCTTGATGCCGGGACATGAACCCCAGCAGACACCAGTAAGTTGGAAAACACATTCCATGAGTCTAGTTTGCAATGCTAACAGTATCAGCTGTCATTAGTACACAAAGTGACCAAAACCTTCAAAGTAATCCCTATCAAAGTCTCAGTGACACTTTTGGTGGAAATAGAAAAGCTCTTACTAAAAGTAATGTGAATGTCACAGGACTCCATGTAACAAAAGAATTGTGAAAAGAATGTATGGCAAGCCCTAACTGGTTTGGCTCAGTGGATAGAGAGTCAGCCTACGGACTGAAGGGGTCCAAGTTCAATTCCAGTCAAGGGCACATGTCCAGGTTGCGGGCTTGATCCCCAGTGGGGGGTGTGCAGGAGGCAGCCGATCAATGATTCTCTCTCATCGTTGATGTTTCTCTCTCTCTCTCCCTCTCTCTTCCTGTCTGAAATCAATAACAATATATTTTTTAAAAAAACAAATGACCCACTTAATATGGGCAAAGACAGATGTTTCTCCAATGGAGATATAAAAATGGCCAATAAGCACATGAGAACATGCTCAATAGCATTATATTCAAGGAAATGCAAATCAATACCACAATGAGAAATCACTCCTCATTGACTAGGATGGCTAGAATAAAAAATAGTCAGATAAGTATTGCTGTATTTTGTGGAAGAGCCGGTATTTTGTGGAAGAGCCACACTCAAGGGACCAAAGAGCCGCATGTGGCTCGCGAGCCGCAGTTTGCCAACCACTGGAGTGGACATAGCATTGCCCTGCAGACTGAAGGTCCCAGGTTTGCATCTGGTGAAGGACGCAGGTGGAGGTTGTGGGCTCGGTCCCCAGTGTGGGGTGCGCAGGAGGCAGCCTATCAATGGTTCTCTCTCATCATTGATGTTTCTATCTCCCTCTCCCTTTCCCTTCTCTCTGAAATCCATAAAAATATATTTAAAAAAATAAAAAAGAATGTATGAAATTGAAGGCTTCAGGCTTCCTAATATTAAAACATACTTCAAAACTTCTGCTATCAAAAAAACTATAATACAGCCCTACCCGGTTTGGCTCAGTGGATAGAGCACCTTCCTGTGAACTGAAAGGTCCTGGGTTCAATTCCTCTCAAGGGCACAGGCCAGGGTTGTGGGCTTGATCCCCGGTAGGGGACGTGCAAGAGGCAGCTTATCAATGATTCTCTCTTATCATTGATGTTTCTAACTATCTGTCCTTCTCCATTTCTCTCTCAAATCAATAAAAAAATAAAAAATTATAAACACTCAAACAAAAACCTGTGATACAAACATTAAGGCAGAGGGAAATAATGAAGCAAGGCAGAATAAAAGGCCGACATAGAAATCCTCGTGGATAGGATCTAAAGATCTTCACCAAGGGTGCCTAAAACACAGATCAGAAAAGGACATTCTCACCATGCCCAAGTAGCCCAGTTGTTTAGAGTGTGGTCTTCATACCAAAACACTGTAGATTTAATCTTTGCTCAGGGCACAGTAAAAACTCACCAATGAATGCATAACTAAGTGGGGAAATGAATGTATATCTCAAAGTCTCTCTCTCTCACCCCCCCCCCCAACCCCCAAGTTGCTCTCTTCCTCTAAAATCAATAAAAATAAAATACAAAGTAGTGCTGGCTGTCATTAAATAAGAACTCAATAAATGAACTACACAAGCAATGACCTTAAATTGGAATGCTAACAGTATAAGCTATCACAAGTACCCAAGGTTGACATAAACATTCAAAGCAGTCACTATCCACGTCCCAATGACACTTTTCACAAAATTAGCAAACCTCATCCTAAAATTAATGACACAGGACACCAGGGAACCAAAACAAACATGGAAGAGACAGTAAAACCTTAAAGGCATCATGCTTCCTGATTTAAAAAAATATTTCAAAACTGGTGTGATCCAAAAGTACCATCTACACATTAAGACACAGGTAAATAGAGGGGCACGGTAGGCCCTGGCCAGTGCGGCTCAGGGTTAGAGTATCATTCTGTACACTTAAGGGTGGCGGGTTCAATTCCCCTTAAAGGGCACATACCTCGGTTACAAATTCCCACCCCACTTGCGTTGAAGTAGGAACAGAAGGGGACCAGCTGACATGTCTCTCTCACATCAATGTTTCCCTCTCTGTCCTCTGTCCTTACTCCCACCCTTCCACTCTCTGTGAAAAGCAATGGAAAAAATGTCCTCATGTGAGGATTAACAACTACAAAAAAGAAGCACTGTAGGATAAAGAGCCTACTTACAACTTCTCACGCATGAGGTAAAATAATCTTCTACAAGGGTACCTACATCACGAAAGGATATTCTCACATATGTGAATAGTGTTGAGATACTCAGATGTCTACGGGTAAAAGAATGAGTGAAGTTGGGCTGTTATTAAACACCACATACAAATATTAAACCAAAATGGATAAAAGATTGAAACATAAAGCTAATAATAACTCAATCTATTAAATGACGAATTACAGAAAAGTTTTTGTTTTTCTTTTAAATACATTTTTATTGCTTTCAGAGAGGAAGGGAGAGGGAAAGACAGACAGAAACATTAAGAGAGATTCATTGATTGGCTGTCTCCTGCATGGCCCCTACTGGTGGTCGAGCCTGCAACTTGGCCTTGTGCCCTTGATTGGAATCGAACCCTGGACCCTTTTGTCCACAGGTTGACACTCTACCCACTGAGCCAATCTGGCTAGGCCCGTGATTGGCAAACTGCGGCTCGCGAGCCACATGCGGCTCTTTGGCCCCTTGAGTGTGGCTCTTCCTAAGCCTTAGGAGTACCCTAATTAAGTTAATAAAAATGTACCTACCTATATAGTTTAAGTTTAAAAAATTTGGCTCTCAAAAGAAATTTCAATCATTGTACTGTTGATATTTGGCTCTGTTGACTAATGAGTTTGCCAACCACTGGGCTAGGCCATATAGAAAAGTTTCTATGACATTTGATTTTTTATTGTAGCACTAAGAGGAAAGGTAAACAAAACAAAATAGTCAAAAGGCATTATACCCCATATAAATATAACTTCCAATAAAGCAAATTGTCAGTGCGTTCAAAATACAAGCTGTGGCATGGGAAAATATTTCTACGAAGCAAATTATCTGATAAGTAGTTAATATCCAGAATATATAACGACCTTTTAAAAATCAACATGAGCCCTAACCGGTTTGGCTCAGTGGATGGAGCGTGGGCCTGTGGACTGAAGGGTCCCAGGTTCGATTCCGGTCAAGGGCATGTACCTTGGTTGCGGGCACATCCCCAGTGGGGAGTGTACAGGAGGCAGCTGATC